TGGGGAGGAGGAAGGTAGGGAGGAGGAGGGGAGGGTGGGGAGGGGGTGTAGAACATGGACTTTCTGCATCCCAACAGGAGATGCAACCCCTCCTACAGTGGCACAACATGCATGAACTTTTCTGTACTGCGAGATAGTTTGTGTGGGATACTATCTTTGGTATAGTTTATGTGGGATACTATCTTTGGTTTATCGTCCAAGTCGTTTTTCTATTGTTTTTTTCCCCTTCAGTGGGTGGTTGGCGGGTGCTCTGGTTTGGTTTGCTTCTTCTTTCCTCTCAAACATCTATCGTCCTTGTCTCTCCTCCTTCTTTCCTCTCAAACATCTGTCGTCCTTGTCTCTCCTCGTTCTTTTTGTTGTACGTTACTGTCTTGTAACACCTTGAATCTTTGGCACTTATATGACCTTATTATGATGCAAGTGCCGTAAAACTCTTACTAAAGCTAAACTAAAAACTTGTCACAGCTTCTCTTTAATTTATTTTTTACACAAGTAGGGTAAACTGATCCGGCTCTTGGTTTAGCAAATTTGAATAATTGAGCGCCAAAATGAAAAAAGGCGTTTTGTCAGCTTACGTCAGTGTACTCAAACAAACAAACTGGTCCGGAGGCTCAAATGATCCGACGCTGTGTCCCCAGAGATTGGAAGTTTCTCCTGTCGTACTGCTGCCCCGGTGCATCGTCGGCCAGTGTCTGTGATTTTGCCGCGGGTAGCAGAAAGTCTCAGCAGTGTCTGGAAAAGGTGAGTACTGTGGGTGAGCGGTATTTGCAGCGCTATTAACCCGTTCATGTCGCACTGCACGACCTCAGAGTGAGCCACAGCGCAATCTGTGTGTGTGTATTGGTGGGGGGGGGGGAGTGGTGATGTCGAGGTATTGTTAATGCTGCTCGCGGGCAGAGGGAGAGAGAGACCCGCTGCCCCTCTGTGTGCACAACTAAGCAGAATATTCATCACTATTTACTATTTGAATGGCGTTCAACATTGAAATATACTCTCATTTATTGAACAAGTTCTTGTGGTGTTGTGTTATATCAAGAGCGTTGTTTCCACTTGACAAGTTTTTTGTCCTCCGAGGTTTAGACTTCAGTCATAGAGGTAATCAAACTTCCTGTGTGTGTGTGTGTGTGTGTGTGTGTGATAGAGGTAATCAAACTTCCTGTGTGTGTATGTGTGTGTGTGTGTGTGTAGAGGTAGTCAAACTTCCTCTGTGTGTGTGTGTGTGTGTGTGTGTGTGTAGAAAGCTCCCAGTTGGCGACAAAGCTGTTTTTGAGAAACGGGGTGAAAAGACCCAAAAAAGTGGCACCCAGCCAAAAATGTAGTTTCACCAAAAAACGCATGTTTTCCCATTTCTTAATAACGTGTTGAAAGGATTTTATAACATTTGAAGTCTAAATATTTTTTATTCATTATTTTTGCACCATGTTGTACTTCTCCAAAGGTTAAAAATGTGCCAGAAATTGGGGGTTTTCTCCAAACTTTGTTTTTACACCCTGTGTCACAAAATGTGATAGACTTATATCTTTCAAAGTACTCAAGATGTTTGAAAAATGTAAATCATCAGTGTGTTCAGCATTGTATTTGCTATAAAAGAAAAGATCCTTTTATCAATATCCAGAATTTCTTACCTTTGGGACCTTTTTCCAGGCACACACACACACATAATTGGTCGCTTTTAAGGACAAGCGGGCTAACCCAGGTTTCGGGGGTTTCCTGAAATCTTGACCCACACCAAAAGTGGGTATTGCCCTACCTATAGGAGAAGTTTGGTTTCATTGGTGTGTATATTTGTTTGGTTATAGAGAAAACTCTCCTTGTCTTTTAAAGAAACTGAACAAGGGCAAAAACTTTACCTTCGATTTTCTCAAAACAGCATTTTTTGGGATAGCCCCCTTGTGCTTAAAAGCGACCAAATATTTGTTTCCATATGTTTGTTCATTTATAATTTACCATTGATGTTGTGATCCTTGATTTGAGTATTCGTCCCTGCGTTCATTCTTTTTTTATTTTTTTTTATAGAACATTTTTTGAGTGGTGTTTGTTGATGGATTCTCTCACCTCC